AGGAAGTGAGCCTTGCCAGCTAAAGCAGGGAACTGGTTAAGGCAGCTGCACCTTGGTCGGACGATCAGAAAGCAAGAGACCGAGAATTAGAAAGGCGAGGCTCACCGAGACATTTATTTCTCCGCCCTTCCATGAATACCACATGTGTTTATGGGCCAGGGTTGGCACAATAAACCTTAACTACCTCAGCTATATTGACAACAAACATATGAATTGAATTTCATTATTTTAACTAGGGAGGCTTTAAGTTTAACAATTAGAAAATTTTAATATTTGTGATTTCATACTTAGAATTGTTTCTTCTTCACATAATAGGTATTAACTCCGCAAAAACTGGAATTGCTAAGAGCCCAAATACAACAAGAATTAGAAACTCCAATGAGAGAGCGTTTTCAGAATCTTGATGAAGTAAGTAAGTTACTTAAAAAAAACTATGCGTTTATTTCCACCTGTAAGGCTTTATGAAAGCACCCTTCGATATCTCCTTTTCTTAGCTTCTGGACCCCGTTATATTTCTGACCTCTTTTTGTCTATCCACATCAGAAGCCTTGATGCTGTATTGGTTTGTCAAGAGCTCTTGCTATAGCTGTTAATCTGCCTTAAATAGTCTTCCTCCAGTTGTAGGCTTGGCTGACTTCCTCATCTTTTTAAATTAAGTCTTTGCTAAAAGCCCCCTTTCTTATTGAGACTGCCCTTCTCTTCCCCATTTAATATTTCAACTTGTTTTATTTTTAAATCATTGCTTAGACTATTGGTTCTTCTCTTATCCTCCTCTAAATTTTTATCTTTTCTCTAATACTTACCAGTTTCTCAAATGCTTATACAACTTATTTATTGTATTTATTCTTTTTATCCCCTTTAGGAGATGAACTCTAGGAGAGGTGGAACCTCTGTTTGTTTTGCTTACTCTTACATCCAGTATTCCTAGCGCAGCGCCTGTGTTGAGTAGTTTCTCAGTGTTTCTGAGTGAGAGAATGACTTTAGTGCAGCCCCAGTAAAGTAACAATTTGTCAGTTTTACTTTAAGTTGAGCTCATTCTCCTTATAAGAAGGGTTGGTATAAGATGACTACACTTTTACAGGAAAAGGCACAAATATTAAGTATCTTGGGTCCTAGAGCAGACATTTTGTATGTCTTATTTAACAAATATACCAAGCCTTTTACTTACAAATGAGTATTGTCCCTTTCAGAATGAGCTCATTTAAGAATCTCTAGTGATGTTGCCATTACAAAAAACAATTGTGGAATATCTCTTTTATCATGGCTTACTGGGCTGGTATCTTTTCAGTGTCCTCCTTTGTTGTGGCAAAGCATTATGCTTGAGAGTAGGTTTTGTTTTATTTTTAAAAATAAAATCACTTGTGATCAAGGTAGATGATCAAGCTAAGTTAAAATGTTATGGAAAAAAAATCGAAGTATGTCTCATAAAATCATGCAACCTGTTTTCTTGGTTTGTAAACTAGCCTTGAAGAAAATCTTTCAACTTAAAAATTTTGGAGACCTGCTTTTCTCATTACCTAATTTCTCATGCATATTGAACATAGTCTCTCTCCATCATCTTTCAACTCTACTGCCCAGGTCTTACTGAGTCTTCATCCTGCCAGCAGCTTCTGTAGTGTGTTAGGAAGCAGCAGTGGAGCACCCAAGGATTGAATGTGATCCTGTTAGGAGAGTTGGAACTACATTTATTACGGTTTGGTTTTTGAGTTCAGCCATCATGATCATATTTAATTGCATCTTAAGTTACTATATTAGTAAAGCTTAAAATAATTCTTTGTTTACTTTGAATTAATCTAGTTAAACTTTTAGGGGGATATTTCATAACTAATAACTTTTTCTCCCCCAACTGCTTGTATGTTATTTTTAAAAGTATGCTGCAGTCAAAAAAAAAGTATGCTGCAGTCTTAAGTGTTATTTCATTGAGCCCAGTGATCAAAACTTTTGGCATACTATACATTTTTATTTAATGAGATTCAGTGAAGAGGTAAGGTTTATTGAATAATAATTGTTTGGGGACTTTCTCAGGAATGTACTAATCCTGTATGTAGGATACTTGCCATGAGAACTTTTCCAAGGCTCAGATACATTCCTATGAAATGTATTAATTTTTTAAGAATGACTTTTGATAAAATGATTTAAAATTATATTTATAATGGTGATTTTTTTAGAGTACAGCTTTAATGTATAAACTTGTGAAAAACTGCCATCTCCTTTTAATTTAGGAAGTGGAAAAGTATAGATCTGAATATAATAAGCTTCGTTATGAACATACGTTTCTAAAATCAGAGTTTGAACATCAGAAAGCAGAGTGTTCACGCATTTTACAAGAAGAAAAAATAAAATATGAATCAGAGGTGAGTAATTGATTTTATACTAGTCTAGTCATTACAAAATATCATGATTATATATTTTTAAATCCCAATTTAGAGTCAATTATATCAAGTTTTATTACTAATGGTGAAATGTTTGTCGTGATTAGCATATTCTCTAAAGCAACATTTTTCTTTTGATTGCTATCTTTTGCCTAGTCGATTTCTTTTTTTTCTTCCTTTAGTCTGTCAGTGGAGAGAGATGACTTTGGGGATTTCTTGCATTCAAAGTCTCTTCTTTACAGAGGCAGACTTTTCTTTGTAAATTAGTTTGTGTGATTCCTTATTTAGTACTTCCCCTCTTGCTCCTTGGAACCAAACCACCCCTAGGAGATCACTACCAGCCAGCCCATGCACATTCTTCCTACGGATTCAAGCAGGGAGTTTTCATCGTAGGGTGTGACCATCACATTCATGGAGTCAAAGTTCTTTTTGCCATCTGCAGTATCTTCTTTCCCCGAGGCCTACTACATTCACCCCTACTCTCTTCCATCGCTTTTGGTTGCCCTTCTGTTTATTTCTTGGTTTTCCTCTCAGTTTTTCTGGAAATTAGTCTCGGTACTTTAGAGAAACAAATCCACAGCAACTCATGTTCAAGAGAGTTTTATGTAAAGAAAGTGTGCATCACGAAAACATCCCAACCCAATGCTGCCCAAGCCCACAAGTCCAACATTAACCCATTAACCCAACACCAGTCCACAAAGTCCTCCACCTCACAAAACAGAGGCAGTGATGCCAACTTCAGGAGGAAAGTTGAGTCAGTGAACGAATAAGCATCTCAGCACTAGCAGGGGTCTCCACACAGCTGCTCCAGCACCCAGGGCTGCATCGGGATAAGTCCATGTGGCTTCTCCTTGGGGATGTCTTGTAGGAAGTCAGTCTTGCAAGCTGAAGCAGGGAACTGCTAAGGTAGCTGCACCCTGATGCGACCATCAGAAAGCAAGAAACCTGAGAACTAGAAAGGCGATGCTCACCACCCATTTATCCCTCCGCCTTTCAATTAGCCCCACATGTGCTTATCGGCCAGGCTGGCACAATTAACTAACTCACTGAGCATGTATTTTTGCTATTCTCTTTATCTTGTTGCTTTTGAATGATTTTTCAAGATGGAAGGATAGCAATACCAATTTTATCCTTCCATGTTCAAATCAAATCTAATACCAGTTTGAATTTTAAAAAGAACTCATTGTCTAGCTATGGGATACATTCTATGTGCAAATCCCTGCATACCCATATTTATTTGTTGCATTGTCTTTATTTGAAACAAATATACCTCCCTTTAACAATTTTTAATATTTGTAGTATTCTCGGTATCCAGTAAGGAGCCCTGGTGGTGTGTAGTGGTTATGTGTGGAGCTGCGATCCGCATAGTTGGCAGTTCAAAACCACCAGCAGCTCGGACAGAGAACGACTGGATTTTCTACTCCTGTAAACAATTACTGTGTTGGTTTGAATAGACCAGAGAAACAAATTCAGAGACACTCATGTGTGTATAGGAATGAGTTTTATATACAAGAGCAATTGAATATTGAGAAAACATCCCAGCTCAATCCAGATCAAAGTCCAATTTTAACCCGTATTTCGGATACTAATCTATAAAGTCTCTTCAGACTCACGAAACACATGCAATAATGCTGAATGCAGAAAGATCACAGACTAGTGCTTGGGAAGTCTTGTGGATCCAGTGGCTTTGTAAGCATTTCAGCGCTGGCAGGGGTTGCCACGTAGCTTCTCCATCTTGGAGCACTAGCATAGTTCCATGTGTCTTGTCAGCTGCAATGTCTCCCCCAGGGAGTGAACCTAGATAGAGTGTCTCCCGCCTATGAGGAGGAATACAGGAGTTCCCAGAATCCTCAGAAGGCCATGCCCACACAAAGGATTCATTGGGTATGACCTGATTGGCAGGCTAGACTGTACCCCTTTACTCTGAATTCTCAAATTGACACCAGATTATGTAACTACCACAATTACAGTCTTGGAAACCCACAGGGGGGTCACTATGAGTCAGCATTGACTCGGCAGTGGTGAGTTGAGTCATCTAGTAAAAACTATAACACTGTTATTTGGATCAGACTGAATTATGCCCATCATTTATTCTCATTGGTGATTGATATGTAAAAAGTTGTGTGCATTTTGGGTCATTTGAGTCTGTTAGCAATAAAACACATTGGCCATCACTCAAAACACATTGACCATCAAGTTGATTCATACTTACACTGACCCTATAGAACAGAATAGAAATGTTCCTTAGATTTTCTGAGACTGTAAAGTCTCAATGGGAGCAGACAGCTTCAGCTTTCTTTCTTAGAGTGACTGGTGGGTTTGAACTCCAGACCTGAAGTTAACAGGTCAGTACTTAGCCCATACAGCCACCACGGTTCCTAATAGAGCAACAAACCCATTGCCATCCAGTCTATTTCACCTCATAGTAACCTAATGTGGGCTTCCTGAGACTAAATCCTTCAGGAGCTGATAGTCCCGTCTTTCTCCTTCCGAGTAGCTGGTGAGTTTGACCATGTGGGCAGCAACCCGGTGCCTAACCCATGGCGCCTCCAGAGGTCCTTCCGGAACTCTTTGTGATAGACCTTTTATTTAAAAATACTTTTAGAGGAGCTGATACCGTGGGCTCAAGTAGAAAGAAAATGTTTTGAAAATGATGACAATATATGTATAAATGTGCTTGATAAAATTGATATATGGATTGTTAAAAGAAGTATAAGAGCCCCGAATAAAATGATTTATATTAAAACACCTTTTAGAACTTTAGATGCTTTTTTTATATGATTTCATTTTCATTTAACTGTGAAATGGACAAGACTATTTTATGTTTTTAAACTAGGAGACTGAGGTATAGGATAAATTAACAGCCTAGGTTACAGTACATCTCAGGTATCCCAGCTCCTACCTCTGAGCATGAAATTTGAAATTACCAATGTTTTGAAGTGGCCTTTCTAATCAGAGGCCATTTAACAGCTGTAATTTGTCAAGATGTCAGTTTATCCATACTACATGTAAGTATCAAAAGTTTTGAATCCGTAATTATAACCAACTTATTATAAAATTATAACCAATTATAAACCAACCAACTTCATTATAATCAACTTATTGCATGTAAAACATTTTTTGTGAAAAATTGGAATGATAAAAATTTTCAACCTAAAATGAAGATCTATAGTTTACTGAGGAAATTACTAAATTCTTTATTTTATACTTTTAAAATTGAATGGTGGTATTTACCTGGTAACAATTATTTGTATTCTCTAGTTTAATTTTGTTTTCTTAAAGAAGGAAATCTGCATTTAATAGCTGATGATAAATCTCTTTTCTACCCATGAAAGACCTAATGCTACTCATTAAAAATTTTAAAGGGTCAGTAGCATCATTAATTTTCATAATTGCAATCTCTTAGGACATTCTTAAGAAATGAGATAAACTTCTAGCTAAGGAGTCATAATTAGCAGAGGGTAGGAAAGTAAGACTTTGTGACAAGACTGAAGTTCTCTCCCATCTACTTCCAAATTGATTGTGAAGTAGCATTATTAATTAGTGGATAATTGGAGATTTGCTTTAGTTTCATCACTTATCTTTAAGTTCCAGTTTCTATATATAGTAGCAGTAAAATGATGAAGTGATTGTGGATCAAGGAATAGTAGGGGAAAAAATCAAAGTAAATGGTACAAGCAGAAGACTTTAAAAGATATTAATTTATCTGAATAAAAATAGATATAATTTTGGCATTCATTAAGGAATTATGCAGGTCTTGTACATATTTATTTTGACAGGTAAAAGAAACAATATTTTTTAGTGTTTTTGGTTTTTAGGAAGACTTTGTTTTCCTGAGAAACATTACAGGAATTCACATCTCCTTCCCGATATTCTGAGTGAAAGCAATATATAAAAGAGTCTATATTTATTTTATGAAAAATATGTGCCCTAATTTCTCAATGAATTTTTCCAAAAATTGTTATGGAGTCCAGGACTTTATACAAATGGAATTCCGAAGTTAACTATTTACACACACATACACACACTCACACTATTCATGGGATTCCTGTGTTATTAGAACTGTGATTTTATATTAGTTTATGAGAAGTAATGAGCAGCACAGTGACTTTGCTGGCAAAAGATGTGACAGTCTGCTTCCCTAACGGCATGAGGCAGTTGTGCCCTCGTGTAGGGCCACGGTGAGTCATACTTGACTCCATGACAGTGGGTTTTGCTTTTGATTTGTAGTTAGACTGTAGACTGGTTGAGTAGTGAAAGAAATACGGGTAATGTATTTGGGGTGGTATGCAGATCTCATGAGAAAAGGGGGCACGGAGCACTGCATCAAATGAAAAACCATCCACGTCACTGTGAGTTTTCATGATGCTCTTCAAACGGATGGGGTTTTACCTCAGCATTTGTGTTATGTCAGTGTGGGCCCATGAGAAACCAAAGTTCCTGTGGCATGAAGAAGAGCTTATTTGGGCCCTGGCTGTACTGTGTGCTATTTCCCCCCACCCCTTACAATACGAGAATTACAAAAACTGATTGTGTATGTCTGGCTTTGGTTATGTTAATAGGCATCATGACACCTCTGAGAACACTTCCTTTCTATGCTGGGGGGTTCTGAAGTTGTAATCTGGAGTGTGCCATTAGGTCCGGATGGTTCTTGTATCTAATATATTCCAAGTTCTCTAACCAGAACTCCTCTCAAGATTCCTTTGACACATCACAATGCAGAGAAGTCTCACAGATTCTACAATTACATTGTACCTGGAAATCTAGGGTTGATTTAGGCAGCCTTTTAGAAGGGCTTTGTGAAATTTTACGAATTTCTTTGTTCCATTTTTTTTTTCAAACTTTATTGAAGTTTTTTATGGCCTAGAATGCAACTTAGCAACCAAATACTTAACTACTGGACCACCAGGGCTGCTGCAAATGACATCTAAAAATCAATATTTTAAAATGCTTGTTTGTTTAGTGTGACCTTTGGACTTGAC